GGCTGGGGATTCGAACCCGCCACCTTAGGTGTACGTGGCTGGTGCCTTAGCCGGTTGAGCTATAGGCGCCAAGCCTTCTGAGTTATATTTTTAAAATGATCTTTCTACTGTTGTCTTACTAGGATATTAGGAGAAAGCACAAATAAGTCGCTGAATATTTTGGGAGGACAAGTAAATGACACACACAAATCAGAAGATGGGTCTTACATATGAGAGAGAGAGAGACAGCATGCAAATGACAGGATAACAACAAAGCAGCAGGTTGCATTCTATTCATATGAGGTTACAGTCACCTCCAACTAGCTTTCCAGATACTTACTGGACACTTGTAATCTCTAGCTCTTTCATGTTTCAGTGTGTGCATTATAAGGGCATATCGTCTCTGAAAAACCATTCCACATTCCCCACATTTGTGGGATGCTTCTTCAGTGTTCTCTTTAGCATCCCTTTTTGGCTGTTTCCTCTTTTTTCCTCTTTGAACTAACTTCTGGGCCACCTAATAGGGATAAATAATACAATCTACATCAATACATTCATTTTGATTTTTAAAGTTGTCATTTCTAATATTTCAAATTCACATTATTTATTAATATTGGTACTTAAAACATTAATTATTGTCCTGTATATATCTCCCCTCCCAAATAATTTTCACCATAGCTATAAGTTCATCAGTACAATTCAATCTAAAGCTAAAATTGCAAAGGTCAATCCTTTTCACATCATACCTGCTGAACTGCTGACTTGGGGATGGCCTTCCGTTTCTGCAGCTTTTTCTCCATTCCTTTGTGTAGTCGGATGTAGCCTCCTTCATTAACAGAACGCTGTCGAAGCCTGCTTCTATAAGTATCATCCTCAGGGCCAATTTCTGTCTTTGCTGTTGGTACAACTAGATTTTCCTCATCTTTTAAAGTTTGGGCAAGGTTTTGCCCGTGTTGTGAAATATCTTCAGCACAGATATCCTTAGCTGATATATCATTTCCTATATCATCACTGTTCTCTGGAGAGGTACTAATGATGTTATCTTTTGCAAGTTTGGGATGAATATTAGAAACACTGCTGTTTGAAGTTTCTAGTTCTGTCTGGTTGTTTTTTGTTACTAAATCAACAGACTCCATTTCAGGATGGGAATCAGTTATACATCCGACAGATGACAGAGCAGCTTCAGCCCCTGAAGAAACCTGGGGCTCAGGCTGTTGTCCTAGCTCTCCATTCTGCAATTCTCCATTTACCAGTAGTACAAATTCACAATTCCCAAGTTCAGTAGATAAAGTTGTTGTGGCTCCCACATTGTTAGCCATAGGGGGTGCTGTACTTCCATTTTGTACTTGTAAGTCCTGGGTAGATGCAACTGTTTGTACTTCACCCTTCTTATATACTGTTAGCTGCTTTTCTTCCATTAATTTATGTACACTTTCACAAATCTCTAAGACTTCTGACATGAAAAGATGACGAGCTAGGATGGCCACATCAGCCATGCTACAGAAGTCAAAACTTAGCACAGAAGTATAGGCAAATTCTAGTAAAGGAAGGAAGCTTGCCTTACAAAAACCTATATGAAACAAGAAAAATGGGGACAAAAAGTCAATCACCACTGAAACATATTATAGGAACAATATAGAATTGTGACAATATAAAATATAATACACAAAGGCAAATATGACCATTATTTTGTAGTTAATCATTCCTGGATTTGCCTTCTCTTCTGGTTGCTTATTAAACCCTGACTAACTCACTTTTATGAACCAAGTTTCTCAATACCTAATATAGAAAATAATATCAGACTTACTACCTCAAGAGTTGCTGTAAGGCAGTCATTTTCAAACTGTATTCCTTAGAACCCTGGGGGTTCCTCAAACTCCCCTCAAGAAACAGCTGCTGGAGAATGGAGGGTAAAAAAAAAAAAAGAGGGAGGCAGGTGAGTAGGAGGGGTTCAACCAACCTGTCCCCTAACTTCACTTCAGTAAACCTAACTGTTTAATCAAATTTTTATATGACTTATTAAAAAATACAAAGTGTTCTATGATTAAAAATTTAAAAATCAAGATCTAATAAACAAAGGTTGGCAAAATTTTCCATGAAGAGAGAATAATGCAGGCCATAAGGTATCTTGCAAGTACTCAGCTCTGCCATTGTGGCTGGAAACCAGATGTACACCAGTGGGTGTGGCTGTGTTCCAATATAATTTTCTTTACAAAAATGGAAAGGAAGGAGGATTGACCCCTGGGCTGTAGTTTGCTTATTCCAGATCTAAGGAATGAAGTAATTAATATACACATGAGGTACTATATTCTTATTTTATGTGGGAAAATAAGGTCAGTTTCTTTCTTTCTTAAGTTCTCAGTACTTCACTACCAAAAGCCATTTTAATTCTTAATATCCCATGATTAAACCCAAACCTTTTTTTTGTGACGAAGTCTCAATATGTCACCTTGGGTAGAGTGCTGTGGCATCATAGCTCACAACAACCTCCAACTCTTGGGCTCAATAGATCCTCTTGCCTTAGTTTTTCTATTTTTAGTAAAGACAGGGTCTTGCTTTTGCTCAGGCTGGTCTTGAACTCATGAGCTCAAGAAATCCACCCGCCTCAGCCTCCCAGAGTGCTGGGATTACAGGTGTGAGCCATAGAGCCTGGCCACCTCTTCCCTTCTTACAGTGTCATATTACCAATCATGTTCTGCATCTTGATTTTCTCATATAATAATTTATCTCAGAGTTTTTTATTTATTTTTATTTTTTAGACAAGATTCTCATTCTGTTGCCCCAGACAATAATGCAGTGATATCAGCCTAGCTTATACCAACGTTAAACTCCTGGATCCAAGAGATCCTCTTGCCTCAGCCTCCTGAGTAGCTGGGACCATGGGCACTGCCACAAAGCCTAGCTAATTTTCTTTTGTATTGTTTTTTAGTAGAGACAAGGTCTTGCTCTTGTTCAGGCTGGTCTTGAACTCCCAAGCTGAAAGTTAGGAGCCACATGCCCAGCCCTTTTGGTGTTTTGTTGTTGTTGTTGCAGTTTGGCCACGCTGAATTCGAACCTGCTACCCTCAGTATATGGGGCTGGCTGGCACCCCACCCATTGAGCCACAGGCACCGCCCCCTTTTGGTGTTTTTTATTGTTGTTGAATATACAACACTATGATACTCAAAACACCTCGAACTGATTTAAAGTGATTCCAGATAAGTAATGGACTGACACCTAAAGAATCAAATGTTTTATCTACTGAAAACATATTTAACCTAGGACACGAAGAATTTCCACAAAGGTTTAAAGAATATGAATTTAGTGAACACAGATCTTTAAAAACTGAAGGAACCCCCCCC